TATGGGAAAGAGAAAAGCTAGATTCTTTACCCCCATCCTGAGAGCTGTAGGAGGAAGTTATATGCAAGGGGTCTGCTTGGAATGGGGCTTGGGGGAGGGGAGTACAAGGGGTGAGGAATACAAGGGGTGCAGGCTCGTAGGGAAATTGGTCATAGCAGGTGCAGGGGACTCTGCCACTTGACGCAGAGATACCAAGATAATTGACGTCCACAGATGGCCATCGGTAGTTTTATGTAATATTCTTCTTTGAGGAGCTAAGAGTGCACTCGCTGTAGGCGCCATTTCTTACAACATGTTTTAAGCGGGAATAAGAAAGATTTTTATATCATATGGGAATGGTAATACTCGAGAACATGATCTGACACGCTGCAAAGTACTGCCTCCAAATCTACGGTTTCTAGACCAAAGTACAAAGGGAAGAAAGGGATGGGCTGCTGCTCCAGCACCTTAAGGTCAGGTTGCTCTAAAGAGTCGAGAGGAAACGTGGGGGATGGGGAGGGGGGTTGTCTTAATGAATGAGATGAATCGCTCTCAAATCAGACAGCCATTCAAAAGCCACTCTAACAGTGACTTTAAGAGAAGGACAGCTACCAAGGAAGGGCAGTGTTGGAAGCAACCAGTGCAAACATACCTGGGAAATAAAACCAAAGAATGGGTGATCAGCAAACCAACTGGAGGCAATAAGATAGACATAGGTGTGGAGCAAAAGATGAAAAAGTTGGTTACACTCGGCTGGCCTGGGGTAGAGACCTAGAGCTTTCATTCAGTTCAATAAAACAAGTCCCTTTTAGAGATGCTTTTTTTTTTTTTTTTTTTTTTTTTTTTTTTTTTTTTTTTTGCCTACTTCCTTTGAGATTATAGAGGCTGAGTTCTTTCCCCCAGAAAAGTGTATGAGAGGAATGAAATTGTATTTGGTGGAGTTCTTAGATTTCTTTAGAATTTTAAGAGGCAGTAAAGGGATTAATATGATAATGATTTAGGCAATTGTACCACTTGGTCCTTCCCCCACCACCTCCCTTTGAAACCACCATTTTAAAAGCCTGAAGATGTCTGGGATGTTTTTAAAGTCTGAAAACATTCTACACCTCATTCTGCGACCCGTGTGTGTGTGTGTGTGTGTGTGTGTGTGTGTGTGTGTGTGTGTGTGTGTGTGTGTTCTCTTGTCAAATGTTATTCCAATAACCCCAAGGCTGAGTACTGTGGTAATTGAGTAATGCTGAATATTGTTCATGCCTTGGGGCATAAACTAAGATTTTATTGTGCTTAAACTGTAATGAAATCATTGAAGGTGTCACCCCAGGAAGCAAATCCCTAAGGAAGATATTAACAAATCATCAACTTTAAGTATAGGTAAGAGTGTGAATTCTACCTATTGAAGGAAATATTCTTTATAAAGTTAAGGCAATATTTTAAGGAAATATCTAAAACTAATAGTAACTATTTCTTGGTCCTCAAACTCTCCAAAGGTGGTCGATGTGCAAAGAATATGAAACAGTCTGTCATGCTACATCTTAGAGAAAATCAACAAATTTTATTTACTTTCTACTAGATACAAACCACTGTGGCTTTATCTAACAAATTTATAGATCTACAGTTAGTATTAATTAATATTACACTGAAATTGCCTTGAGTGGGTAGATAGCTATGAGTCTGCTTTAGTTAACTTAATAAAATACCACAGACTGCCTGACTTAAACAAGAAATTTACTTTCATATCACTTGGAGGATTCCAAGGAGTCCAAGATCAAGGTCTGATACAGTGTGTAACAAGCTTTCTTGTCAGATTATCTTTGGAGTACCAGCCTGAAACTAATGACACAGAGACTTCTTATTAATTATGAAAGCTCAGCCTATAGCTTAGGCCTGTTCCTAACTAGCTCTTATAACTTAATTTTACCCACTAATCTACATTCTGTCATGTGATGTTACCTTTCTTCCATCCTGTTTCCTCTCCCTGTCTCCTGGCATCTCCTTCATGCCTAGATACCTACTCCTCTTCCTTTCTCTCCCTAGAAA